ATATATAGATCTACGATCGTGATATAATATCTTTATTTTAAAAAACACTATATTCTTTTATTGATCTAAGTTAATACACGACCTCTATATTTACCTCTTGTGTTTACGCTTCATTGTTTCTTTCTTTCTATTTTTAATGTTTACAAAGTTATGATGCGATTTACTTTAACCACAATACTTGAAACAGTACACTGACACAAAAGTAACTGAATTAGTTAGTGACAAAAACACACTTTACAGTTTAATAACTCCAGAACTATAATAAGTTTAGGTTTATTAATGAAATTTGAGATTCTCTATGTTCAACAGGGTCGGGGTCAAAATAACAAGTATGTAGGTCTAATAGTTATTAAGTTTGGAGTTGAAGGGGACGAAAGTAGTTTGAAATAGTTCGTGTGAAATATACAGAAATGGCAAGTCGCCCTTTTCTTTTCTGAACTTGAGTACATCAATTAATGTTATTCTTGATTAATTCTATGTCGACCGAAACCGATCCTGTCTTCTGAATATGATTGTAAGAAACCCTCAATAATAGAGAATTTTACAAAAATTATTCAGTGCAAGTCGAACCAATTACTTAGGTCCCTCGCTCTTGTTTCGTTTAGTTCCTCACTGTAGATATTCATGCGATATATTCGTAGTTCCATCTAAAACATATTTCTATATTTGGTGTGTCTATCAGCAGTAATACGTCGCCGCAGAATACTGCGAGAAAAAGCTGCACAATAAGTCTTAATTCTCACACTTGGAAGGTACATCTTTCACGCTTCGCCGGTCTCGGCACATTACGCCAATAGTAAACGTGACGGTTATACCGTGATTTTTGTAAGTCTACAGATATTTCTGACATATTCTTTTGTCGACTCTTACGACACCCCTGGGACGAAATGGGATAAAAAAATTATACCGCTACCACAACTCAAAGCTATCTCGCACTTTTTAAATTCAGACGTTTACGGACGACGTAAGATTTAGCAAATGTACATTAATTTTACACAAAATAATTTCGAGTTTCGATCGGTGAAACATAATGTGATTAATTCACAAATGCCGAGTGGAAACGGCAAATTGGACCCATTTGTGCAAATGGCGGGAGATGAACAATTTTCTTCAGAGTTTACGAGTTAAGTAGATTCACTTAACTGGCTATTTATGTAAAATTTTAAAGAGACGAATGTATCTCGTCTCAGTGTTTTATATTATTTATCACTGAGTTCATATTTTCATTAAGAAGAATCATAAGAAAGGAAAGTGATAAAGTAGTTTCATAAACAGGTTCATATTGATAAAACCGCGTTGAGACAGGGAAGGTTTTTAATAATAATATTAGGGTGACAAAAGAGCGCATAACTTCATGGTAACTGCAGCCTGTGATCTTCAGTAACCAACTTTAAAAAAGTCTACAGATGCGTTGTCACCTCTATAGACTATATTCCATAATGCTCTATACCTGAATATAGACTATATTCAGGTAAACAGCATTGAAATACACTATTATTTTGCGGCAAAAATATGTAGGAATGTACTACTGAGTACTACCTATATATATATATACACACATACATAAACACTCACGCCTGTCACCCAGAGGGGTAGGCAGAGACTACGGACTTCCATTTGGCACGATTCTGACATACCTCTTTCGCCTCCTTCACATCCATATATCTATATCTACGCATACATGCTCGTCGGTTAAGGGTACTTCTCACGTGGCCCATTTTCAAAATATCGCCAATTTGGTCGATAAACTTTTTTCTAGGGCATCCCTTTTTTTTATATATATATATATATATATAATACTAGCTTGCCAGGCAGACGTTGTTCTGCCCTTTTCGACGACCCTTTGTCATGTCCTATAAAAAATCTAATACTATCCTATCTCTCAAGTTGGACCAAACTGCACACGATGTGCAAATTTGATTTAAATCAGTTATGTAGTTTAGGAGTCCATCGCGAAAAAATATATATATATATATATATATATATATATATATATATATATATATATATATACATATAGCAGGAATTAATAGGTTAAAATTAAACACCATAACTTTCGTAAAATTTGTTTAATTTAATCAATATCTACGTTAGTTATTGCGTAACTTCAGCATAGTTTTCAACATTAGGCATTTGCATCGATCGATACTGAAGTCTATTTTTGAGTTTCAAGTCACAATGTAGGTATACCCATTGGTAACATAGTGCATGCTATCACCGATCAAAGGTGTTAAGTCAGGTGAGAGAATAATAGAACAACTTTTTCTTCATGTACTTTGAAACACACTCAAAAAGGTCAAAAAGGTCGAAGAAGAGACCGCTGGGAAATGAATATCGTAAGTTGCTAATGTAAAAACTAAAAATAATTATCATCGTCAAATACTCAAACCCTACTCAATTTTAAGATGTCATTAAGACTCGTGATGTCACGTTCACAACACGATATTTGGGTATTAGTCTGTTAAATTGCACAAACTAAAAAAACTAATAATTTTCTCGAAAGATTTGTAAACAACATGCTCACAGGTTTTCTTTAAGGTAAACAGGTTGCGCTTGTACTGACATCATACTTTTTGCTTGTTACATAATTTTAAACAAAAAACATTGATAACAAAATATTAGTCTAGCTAATAGGTACAATCGTTTACATAGCTCAGACACCCTGCATTGACATTAAGGTACTCGTCTTTACAATTATCTTTATCGTTTTCATATTTAATGAAACTACATTTTGTAGAAAATTCAATATTCAACCAAAGATGTATGAAATTACCTAAATACATTTTGCATCAAAAATCTTTTTTGTATCTATGGAATGTACTCTATTAACATTCTATTCTCATGAAGCGAGTAATATGAGAAATCAAAACGCTTCGTATAGTATTATTTGCCAAAGGTTTAATTTATGTCTTTTTTTACATATTACGTAGTGGAAAATTTATTATTTGCTATTACGAACTCACAATGTTTATTGTGTTAACAAAGTACATTCTACAGGTAGCAGAGTTAAAAAAAGAAAGTATTATAAATATTCCTAGAGGGCAGTACTTTAGATTTGTGAACACCTCGAATTTCAATGCAACCTACTGGCTGAGTCAGGCAAACGATCATTAACTAATTAGTCGATGTACTAGAGACAATACAAAGATCTACTTATGTCTAATTAAAAGACCTTGTGCCATAATCTCAATATTCGATTGTATGGTGCATTATTGTCCTAGATTAGAGAGGGTACCTACACGTTATCAATTAATTGATTTTTTTTAATTATAAGTTTTCTGTAGATGGTTATCACTTTTTCATTATATACTTTCAAGTATATGAGATCTACTTTATCTGATTCGAATGGCCACGTCCCCTTTCCAAAAGTTCAATTCCCCAGAGGTCCCTAACAAATTCATTTGCCCCTCACTCGTTTAGTAAAAATACACTTCCTACAAAATATTATGCCACATTAAATAACAGTGCGGCAATGGGACGTCGATTGACTCTCTCGTCAGTAGATTAAACGACCCTATATTCATTTATTACGCCATAAGAAAGGAAATATACGATGCAATGTTAAGGCCACGAGAATATTAAAGTCACATCCAGGCCCAATTCAAACAATTTTCACTTTCACACACATCTTGACTTCGCATGTGATTTCATAGGAAAACGCGCGGTCTTCATCAATAACTAAGACGTGACCAAACTTTGGTCGGAGCAATTTGAAAAAATGCACCATTTTTTAATGAAATAAGATTCTATATCATCAGCAGCTATTTGTGCTTCGTAATAATAATCCAAACCGAATTTCAGTCACGGCGGCCTGCCTCAAAGGAGGCTAGCCATCGGCGCAGGACAGGATTATAGTGCCCAAATGTATGCGCAAGTACAGGTGCACTCTATATTCCGTCACTTATAATCCGATAGGCGGTAAACCGACGCGATTGGAGAAAGATCAGGACCAAATGATTTACGTGTTTTCCGAGCCACGGGCGTGAGAGACCGCCGACTCCGGACAGCCACTGAGAATTTCTTGACGGAAATATGCAATGATTGATTTTTTGGCCCGACGTTGTGAAAGCGATAGCTGCTCCGATTCTAACAATAATTTTGACGATAACAATGGGATGTCCAGGATCTAAGTGTTCTCAGACGATTCTGGTGAAGGTTCAAATAGCAGAATTTAATATTCAAATGACTATATGAAAAAAATAAATGTCTATAGAGCTACGGTTACGTTATACGTGGTCATGCCATGCTGCAGCTATATTAGTAGTATAGCTGTAGCACGAATGGGTCAGTTCGACCGGGGCAGGACCACGCTATCACAGAATACCAGCATAAAATAGCAGCTTAACGCTACTGTGTTTCGTATGGTGTGTAGAGAATCGAAGACCCATTTTGCTGGAAACAAGGCAGTCCATCTTAGTCCTCACTGCTGACAACATGCTGCGTCTGCATTTTGATTTGTAGTTGAGAACAGATGTAGATGTCTATCGGCATCTATACAGCAACCACGTACCATCAGGTGAACTGTGTGCTCGTTTGTCACTCTGTCCTATAAAAAAAGGGTTTCTTGTCTGTCTGTCCTATTTAAAACACATATTTTCTTGCATGTTATTTAAAATTAATATAAACTTAATTTAAGAAATACATTGTTTTATTTTAATCTTCGTGAATAATTTACTAATATATACTTATAAATAATTTAATTTTATCCTAGCGAAGCCAGTGCGGGTCGCTGGTTATAAATGTTATTTTAACCCTTAATGGGTTGTGAGTGATCTAACCATCATAAAGTTATGAATTTTGGAAAATATACTTATTATGAGGTCTAGAATAATATATTCTGAGTTTCATATTTATCATTTATTGCTCTAATGGGTTTTACCACGTGGGATCTATTTTCCTGTTGTCCATATAAAAATATATGTTTTTGAGATACAACATGAATATTATTCCCACATCTGGGTAGGGAAGAATGAGAGACATTTCATTACATGTCACCATATTTATTTATGAAAGTTGTCAAAACATTCGGGGCAAATAGATACTTTGCAAGTTTTGCATATGAATCTGGAGCGTTTCTCTTTTACGCGAGTAGAACAAAAGCGGCATCTGCGGAATTTCAAATTATCTTGAGGTAGATGTAGTCCCACATTCAGCAGTCTGATTTCATCAGGAACACCGTATACTCCACCCTTTTTGTTCTTAAAAAGGGGAACAGTCACTTTTTTGGCACGGAAGTTGTTTATGAGTAGACGGCCAAGTCGGAAACGAAAATCTCTGTGTGTCATAAGACTTTTTTGATGGTAAACAATATATAAGTTCACCACAGCCGCCTCGAAAAGAAACCAAAACAAACGGTGCCAGTATTTTCTTGACTTGCAACTCAGAGGATAAGATGATCTATAATGATCAAATAGATCGACTCCTCCCATGTGTTCTGTATATTTCTTTATAGCAACTGGACAAAACATTGCTTTTTTTGAGCCGTTCTTCTGTGTCCTTTGTATTACTTCAACAGACCTTGGATCGTGTGCTGTAGTACTTACTAATACATCTTTTGTATCCATCCATTTAATGCATGCAATAGGATTGGAATATTTGAAGATGAACTCACCAGGACTCAGTTTTAGATCTTTGTTTTGCTTGCTAATTTCTGGTGGCAATCCCTTCCTGTTCGCTCGAATGGTTCCTACAGCATATATCTTCTCTGAATACAAAATCTCCAGCAACGGCAGGCTCGTAAAAAAATTATCAAAAACTATGAAAGTATCTTCTGACACATTTTGACATAAATCCAAAACAACTCTACACCCTAATCCCTCTTCAGCTGTATTATCTGTTTTGCCTGTATAAATTTGGAACTGATAGAGGTATCCAGTTTTAGAATCGCAACGACACCAGCATTTATAACCTCGTTTAATTGGTTTTTTAGGCATGTATTGTTTCATAGATGATTTGCCTTTAAATTTTATCATACTCTCGTCAATGGATTGATTTTGCGATGAGGAGCAGTTTTGTTGAAATGTTTCGTTCAGAGCGTCCACTATTGGTCGTACTTTACACAGTTTGTCATAGCTCGGGTCATCGCGTTGAGCTTCTTCTAATATGTTATCAATGTGAAAATTTTCTGTGATTTTCTGAAAGCGTTTGAAAGGCATGACTTCACTAATTACAGAATTTCTATAAAATTCGTCAGTAGACCAGTACATCTTTATATCAGGTATTGGATTTATTGATATCAACACCATAAGCCCAAAATATGCATTCATTTCTTCATATGTTGTATCTTTCCAATGTCTTGAGCATTTATAAGCTGCATAGATATTTGTGTTTCTCACAATAAAATTTACCAACTCTTCTGGAAACATATCCCGGAAATAGGACAATGGAGTAGATCGGTTGTTATATTGGTTGTTTACAGTCAATGGCCTTTCAAAATTTGGGGGGAGTGAGAATCTAGACAAATCATTGGACCACTCTCGCGATTTCTTCAATAAATCAAAATAATTTGAACTGGATCTAAATCTTTGTTGATCGGAAGGTCCTCTACGTTGATAAGCAGGTGTAGGTATAGGAGGCGGTCTGGGCTCTGGGAACATCTTCCTCAAGAGCAGGTAACATGGGCTCATTAACTGCAGCCTCCACAGGAACATTACTCTCAAGTGAAAAAGATGACATGGCCTCATCAACTGCATCCTTCTCAGAAACATTCCTCTCTGGTGAACAACGTATGGTAAATTCCTGCACTGGGGAGGATGGTTGCGCTGGGGAGAGTGATTGCGCTGGCTGATTACAGTCATCAACAATGTCATTCATCTTTGCATCTAAATTATTAAATAAGTTGGGCCTTTCACTCACGAAGGTAAATTCTTCATCGTCCTCGTCTTCCTCGTCATCGGAGGACATCATTCTACTTAATTCCGATTCAATCTGTGCATCTTTCAACTCTCTCCTCAGTATCACCTGTAAGAAAAAACAAAGATGTAGTTCCGTAATGATCAGTAGGAAAATAGTTCCCACATATTTTGGAAGCCCATAAAAGTCGAACCAAATAACTATTTAGGTAACTTTTACATAAAATGTACAGCAAATATCATAATTATAACAAATCTGTAAGAAAATTATACTTACGGTATTTTTTTTCGACATTTTCGACCAAAAAACTCACAAATACGCATAAAATTAACATTCAGCTGATGTTTTGACAGGAGACGTCGGGGTTTTTGTTTTTTTTCTTTCGTAAAGTGGTGCGTTCCAATTCACACTATTTTTTTATCATAGACAATTTTACGTAGTTTTATTATTTTGACAGATTGTGGGAAACTATTTCTTCCTGACCCTTTGAGAACACATATAAAGATGTGGGAATAATTTTCCTACTGCACATTTAATGTGTCTACTTGTGTATATAATTCCATTCAAATATTTTTCCATTAATAGAAAATTTCCACCTAGTCAAAGAATATATACACTATAGTCGAATAATATAACTAACGTTTTAAT